CACTTTTCACTATTTATGTTATGAGTCCCATGTAATAGGGGGTGAGCCTACTGCCATATACCGGGAACATTTCCAAACTCCGTGTTACTACTGAGATTTTGTTGAAACCCGCTATATTTTGCCTGACCCGGGCATCCAACCCGAGACCCCTTGAGACCATCAAGGCAGAAACCTTAACGCTATTAATCTCAATTACTTTCTAAAGCAACTTCTGAAAATGTCACCTTTTGAATATAATTAATGTTTTTGAAGATTCCTCTAAGTTGAATAAAAAATAATTCAATACAACAACAATATTTTAATAACGACAAACACAGCTAACATCATGGGAATAATCTAAAAAGATAACTAACCAATGCACATGATACATCGCCATGAATATTGATACACACAACACACAGTCCAGTACAAAACCCGCAATGCATACCAAACAACGATTTTGCATACAAACACCATTTTTACAATACCTAGTACAATGGCGTATCTAGATATTATGCGAGTATAATATGAATGTGTTTCATATATTTATATTTGTTAGCTGCTTTACTTAGGTCTAAAGGAATTTGTGACTTTGTGTCGTTGTTATAGAATTGAATTTTGTTGGGACGTTGTTAAGGGAATCTTTGCTTGGTCGGTCGAAGGACTGTTAGTAGAAGCTGTATATGAAGACTAGCGAAGTATGAGGCTTTTCGATTATAAATGGGAAAGTGAGTTTGTTTGTTTGTTTGTTCCGCTTTCACGCCGTAACTACTAAACCGATTGCATTGAATTTTTGCAGACGTAAAGTTAGAAGTCCGGATTAAATAATAGGGTACTTTTTATCCCGGTAAAATTTGATATTCCTGAGGGAAAATAAAAGAATTGGTATAGATGGCGCTGTGTGTATTGGTATATGTCACATAGGCTACTTTTATCCTTTTGTGACGCGAGCAAAGCCGCGGGTAAAAGCTAGTTCTCTATATTTGCTAATACTTGGGGTTTTTGTCTATAATTGTGTCTGGTATTGTTTGGTTCACTTGCAAATTGTGATGAAGCCAAAATAACGTCTGAATACTGATGTCGGCAGAATGCCACGGGGCCCCAGTCCTCCGTCAAGAGTCGTACCTGAACTTTTGAGTTTTCGGTCTAAGGTCTTTACCATTTCATGAATTTGCCACAGGCCCTCAAATACTCAGTGCCACTGAGACCCCGGGCAAAATATTGTGGCGCCCACGTGAGGGAAGCAATATCAAGTGTTAGTATTTTACTGATCCCAAGTAAAATTATATTAAGAATTTCATCTTTCCTTTAGCGTTACTCTGAGCTAACGACGCGGACCACAAACCCTCAAAAAATGAATCTAAAAAATCTCAATAAAAAATATGCATATGCACAGATCGTAGGAGCACAGTTCTGAGGGTTTGCACCAGGAGGGGCAAGAGATTCTAACTTCAGACCTTGGCGCCCCCCAAAATTTGTCGTCCTGGGCCATCGCCCCCATCCCCCCCCCCCCAACGCCGGCACTGCAAATAGTATACTTACGCCACTGCTGAAAGGATACTCAATTTTAAATTGTACTTACATATCGTGCCGTCTCTGTCTTTTTACTAAGAATTTGTAGTGACAAAACTATACTTAGCACGACTTAACCCTTTGAGTACCGTCATTATAGACACTATTAAACAACAATAGGTTACGATCACCTGTGTCCTCGCGCGTTTGACAGTTTAAAATTAAGTGGCGTTTGAGTATTACGACATAGGGGTTGTAAAAATATATATACAATAAACACTCTTAGTAACTCCATCGAAAGGACTATAACCGAAAATATTAACACCAAAAAAAAAAATCTTCACACAAAAGCAAAAAAGGTTGACTGGGAGAAAATGCCATATTATAATGGCATTAAATCCGCCTTATGTAAGTACCTTATTTGGTGTGCATTAAAAAGTTAATTAAAAAAAAAAAACAAAAAAAAAAGAAATACGGTAGGTACAAAAAGTCCCCACAATACGAATCACAGTCTCATAAAATATTAAACATAAAGTTACGAACTAAACGTAAAAGACAAATGACCCGTTAAACTGACCCCATACATTAACAGTAGTCATACAAAAATCATAAGTGTTACGTGGACACGGAGTATGAGGGACACAGAGAATGGAGTGCTACATAGTAATTTACTGGCGGGGTCGCGCGACCTGTCATTACGTTTTGACAGGGCTGTCATGAATGACGTGAGTTTAAATTGTGTAGAAAATTAGCGGGAAATTCGTGTTAGAATTTCTTTTTCTAGTCCTTTGATCTGGAGTTAATGTTTTGGTGTTTTTAATGTGTTTGGTGTTATTTTTAAATCAAGTATTCAATTCTTTAAAATCACTACCAATTATCTAGTTAGTGTTTTTAAATAAGGGTGCTTACAGCTCAGACTAAATTAGTCTAACACGGAAAATGACACTGAACCTTAAATTTCTTTTTTTTTTCATCTGGTTTGTAACTCATAGTAAATCCTAATCAGGGTTTTCAAAGTAACGTGATAAAAATTTTAATTCCTTGACTTTTTCAGTAACAAATATATTACCTTATTTGTTGTTTGTTTGTTTGTTTTGACGTTCAAAAGTGCCTTACTGGTCTAATTGAAATAAATGATTTTGACTTTGACTTTGACTTATAGTTAAAGCTACTTAGAACTTCTTCTTGGCATATCAAACTGATATGTAATGTCACTGAAGATGATTTTTATTAACAATATAATTCTACTGCCAACCCTACCACTAAAGTAATATTTTAACACATAATTCGCGGGCGTACTCGTGTGGTAACATGTGTCTTTCAGTTCACGACGCTTGTCAAACCTCTCTAATATTAAACGGAGGCGTGTCTGTCTGTCGTGATGTCACAAACTTTGTGGGAAAAAGTAGTTGAAGAATTTTATCAATGATATAGTGTAGTGAAATGGTTAAGTATTGGAAGTTTGGAGGATAGGGGAATTATATGTGAGAATTTCAATAGCTCGTGTCTAAGAGATTTAATATCATGCCTGTTTACATCAACCTCTGTTAAATTTTAAGGAACCACTAGACTAAGATAGGCGACACCTAACTACATTTTGGTTTTCATAAACCTTTAAGTTACACGTAACAGTGCAAGTAAGGGGTTAGTTTAAGTGATCCCTCCCGCTAGGTTATTCTTAGTTAAGAGATGATTTAGGAGTGGTTGGTGAATTCATCAATTTATCAATTCCTGTCACAATGCTATGCGTATAATATTGACCATGTCTTCCAGTACAAAAATGGCTGGCATACATTTAACGATAATATACAAATTAGGTAACAGTTCTTTTTAATTTCTCGTATTTAGTAATAATAATAAAAAATTGTAATGCAAGCTAGCAATGGCAAAAAATATAAAAATGTAAGTAACCTCCTTTCGATTTAAAATAAGAACAACAAACCACTGCCCAATTTCGCGCCAAACATTAAAAACAAACATTGTGTTCTTTATCAAGATTACCGAATTATTTTATTACTTTTCTTAGTAATTGTTAAGCTCCACTAAAAGATTAAACAGTTGTCTTTAAACTGTCAAACACCGCGAGGACACCGGTGACCGCGACCTATTGTTCTTTAATTGTGTCTATAAAACCGGTACTCGACGAGTTAATCGCCAATCATTATTCACCACAAACGCCTACTTATTAATGAACTAGTCACAACTAGACTAGTCATAATAATTCTATTACTACCACCAACCATTTTCCATCGATCACGCAAATTATTGTTGCAATTTAAGGTTGATTTCCCGTAACAGCGATCGCGGTAAAAGATCGCGATGCGTTCATACATCATTCATAGGTGCAGACGATAATGATACTTAATGACATGGGGGTTGGAAGCGTCGGTGGAATTTAAAAGATGGGTTATTATCGTAATAGGCTACCGATATGAGAATCGTTCGTGTGGCCGTTAGAAATTGATTTTTGCACGTTTACACATGGGACTAGCTAAACCATCTATAAAATAGTTCTATAGAAATGCAACTAGCAAGAAAATATTGCCGCCATTATATTAAATTGTGACGGAGTAATTAATAAATGGAGTGCTAACATGGTCTATTACAAAATGAAGCGACACACGTAAAAATACAACATGGATCATACACTCAAATTTAGTATATTATTCTCATGATATATATAAATGTAATAAAATACATGAATACTATCTCTTCATGTTTCTAGAAGAAAACTTATTGCCTGTCAATCGCCTGGCTTGTGAGGTAATCGTAAATTGTAAACTTTGTAGTATAAGGAATAAAATATTAGAAAATTCGCCCGTTTACATGCTTCACGCGTGTGAGAAGAATGGCGATAAATAAACAGCTGTCATGTTTTACATATAGATTATAGGTTTAACATCACTAGTTAATAGTTAGAATACTAATATAAGTGATGTCAGAATTCTAATTATTGTTGTTTTTATACTCTTTTCGGATGCAGTTTTATTAGGATCGACTCCCGGGTCCGAAGTCCAAAGTACTACACAGTTTTGAAAAAAAATATCAGTAATAGCATCGAGTTTGGAATTGTGCCCGGTATATGGCAATAGGCTCACCCTCTATTACATGGGACTAATAACATAAATAGTGAAAAGTGTGTGTTACATTGTACAGTAGCATTAAATGCCGTAATGTGGACCTCTGCCGGGATAAAAGGCAAAATTTAGCTTTTTCTCGAATGCAAAGTGAGAATATCAAATAATGATCACAGATTTGAATTGTTACCCTTAGTAACCAAAGCGAATAGGTATTGAATATGCTAAATAAACATGATTTCCGTAATGACTATTTAGTCAACTTAACATCCCAAGTTCGATTTCCTGGTCAATGACACTTATAATTATGAAAAGTATTATATTTTAATTTAGTCTTACAACCTTTTTGTTACAATGTCCCTTCTCTACCAACCACATGAACATACGAGTTATGCGAGCACTTTCCTAAGCTGTCTAAAGTGTGTTACACAGACGATCCTGAATTCGATGCACAAGTACCAGCCCAGGTTCCACCTGGTGAGAGCCAACGACATCCTGAAGCTGCCATACTCCACCTTCAGGACATACGTCTTCAAGGAGACGGAGTTCATCGCGGTCACCGCGTACCAAAATGAAAAGGTAAGTTGAACCTAGATACTAATTTTATCTTAAAGCATAGAGCAAAGGTTCACAACCTTGCCTGGTCAAGGACCACTTTCATCATTATTTATTTTATAATAACTACTGTAACATCTACACTTGACTTTTATTAGCAATAAACGATTAGAATTTGAATTCATTCTTGTTAGGTTAGGAACCACTATTACCATTACTTTTTCATGTATATTACACTAAGATTACATTTGCTCATAAAAATAGTGACTTTGGTATTATTAAAATAAGTTGCTCCTTTTAGTTGTCTCGTTTGAAGTCTAATTTGAGGTTCAACCGAGTTATGTATTGACAGAATAATCTTGTGTATATTTTGTACGTTCACTGGATCATTTTTTGTCTTCCACGGACAGACGGAACAGAGATGCATACCTAAGAATATTTTTGCGCCAGTTACGTAATAAGTCCCAGGAAATAAAACCTATTGTATATACTTTCTTCTTACACTGCCCTTTGGGCTTGGAAAATGAAGAAAAATACTGATATAAATTATTTATTCATTAATATTTAAAACATGTCAGTCTTGAAGCATAATAAATGTGCATTTGCATGTATGCTTAATAATATAACATATAACTCAATAAATTAGTTTGAGGTGTTAGTTATCTTGAAATCTTTGCATTTAAATAATATTTTAATATCGTATTGATTGTTTATAATCTGCTCTTTATGCTTACTTATTGAAACTTCATGCACATAGTTGTACGTTAGATGGACTTAATGACGTAGGCATTATCTACCAGTCTCTACCTTAGGGCTTAAGGTAATGCAGAGAATACGGTAATACAAATAGAGGTAATACGGTAGGTCCAAGGAGCTGAGAGTAAGAGCTGTAAGAATCTGGCACTCCCTCTAGCCTCACCCGGGAGGGAGAAGCAATTGGATGATTTTCCCCCCTTAAAAAAGGTCCAAGGAGCTAGTAATGAATTTAAATGTAAAAAATACGTTTACGTTGACATTAAATAAATACACACGAAAATAACAACATCGATTCAATTTAAAAAAATTCTTACGTCAAAATTTACGAGGACACATAACTTGCTTTTCTTCGTACTCCTTATTGAAATATTATTTTACGCAACTCCATAAGTCATTCTCACAATAGTTATAGGTATACAGAAAGGAAATTAACTAAATCAATCAATACTTAAATGTAACATAATGATAATACTTTAATAACCCCTTTTCATTACTTCCCGTCGCAAGTAAAGTAAACGGAATAGTTTTATGACAATCATATATATTTATATCACTTAATAACTGTTACTAAACATGATTTGATACCTTATAGTACGATAGTTTCGTAATATTTGTTTTGAAATAGTATTAAGTAATGAGACAGTAGTAAGTAGTGTTATTTCGAAATAGTAACCCATAGTGAAATTTCTTCCGTTTACTGCAAAATAATTTATGTTTTACAATAGCACAATGCACATACATCTGTTCATTTGAGGAATGACTATCTTAATGTTTTAGTATGGAAAGATTAAGTAATACTTTAGATAAGGTATAAGTTAAGGTCGTTAGAAAGAATCGTACCTAATGTTTTCTTTACTTGCCCTTGACATTAAATCTTACTTTCCCAGTATTGTACAAAATGTTTAATTAATTTAATTTGTTCACAGATAACACAATTGAAGATCGACAACAATCCGTTCGCGAAAGGCTTCCGAGATACGGGAGCGGGTAAACGAGAGAAGAAGTAAGTACCTAACCCTTGGAACTAATTGGAATATCTCCCACAAAACAGTGGCAAGTCAATGGAGTTACGACATACAGGCATTTTCAATAACCAATTAGAATTACGTAACATCACGTGACTACGCATCGTACAAAGACAGTTGAAACATTATATTGAGGACTCCATTTACTTACTACTCCGTGTCTCAATCGACGCTTTCCATTTTCAAATTGAAGCAACATAACTAGACACAACTACGTTTATACAACAGATGTATTACTTAACGATACCAAAATAAAAATAAACGTCCAAAACTATCACTTAATAGTCCCATTCCTATATTTTAATACTTAATTGCTTAATTTATTACCTTGTAAACCGAACGAATGGAAAAATATCTATTAATATAATTCAACTACGTAGGTGGGCTGGTGGGCTTCAAAAAGACAAATGGCGGCGCAAACCGGCGACTGACTATTTAAGTAAAGTTAAAAGCTAACTAAATTAGCGTGGTATCTGTGAATCTTCAGAATTAATTAGGACAGGGCGTCGTTTCCGAGTCCCGAGCCGTTGAAAATTCAAATTAAACCAATCGGGCGCCTCCTTATTCGTGTTCGAGGTTTAAACACGGCGGGTAACGCTCTAAATGGTGGAGTCATTCGACTTGGCGCTTTTTTCCAGCGTCTTTGGCGTGCAAGGGAGAAAATTGGATTTCCGCGATAAAATCAGCTTTAGTTTATTTTTTTTCCTTGCCGTATAATTTGCTCGGCTGTGGGGATAGGTTGCCGTTCTGCTACCTTATTTGAAATTCGAACAAGAGCTCAATTAGTGGGTGATACCCATCTGTTATGGCGCGCATCGTTAGCTTGCATTAGGATGGCGTTTTGTTAATGCTATTGTAGTTTGTTGCGGAATAGTTTTCAATATTTGCTGTTCAAAGTTTGCGAATAAATTAAAGTGTTCATAATCAGAAGCGTATAACACACGAATTAAAGTTTTAGTAATAAGTATTAGTAATGGCGTCTGTAGGTAAATGTTAGTAAATAAAATCCAAAATAGGAAAATCTGTATCTGTTTCAGTTTATTTTAGAGTCTTTGTTACACTATCATGCCCATACCCCAGTAATCGCCACCAATATACCCTAAAACCACAAAATAACATGAACAGGCCACGTCCGGTAGCGGAAGCGATCCTAAATGCGCTTACATCGTATTGCACGGCGACCGGACGGCCGGACGACGGACGCTGCGAACGAATCTTCACAAAATGGCCGCCGGAAGCGCGGGAAACGTGAACGTTTTGACAAACGCCGCGCTCGGAAAAGCCGGTACGATGGCAACACATGCCGCATAACACATCCGGTTGTAGGGTTGCCAGCGCTAAATTATTTATATTGTTGTTCATTTAGTTAAGTAATGAGTCCGTGTTTAGAGTGAGAAAAAAGGTTTAGGTTAGTAAAATGGCTTCCGGATTTGGTTCGAGATACACTGAGTAGGGAGTGAAAATTATGTAGCTTTAAATTTGTATATGAAAAGTGTTTCATTGTCATTGAAATACATGTGGAAATATGTAGTAAACTAATGCTGAAATCGTTAAAGTTTAAATTTCAAAACACCCATATTGTCACTTTACAAAGAATCAAGCAGAGGATTAAGTGAAAAAATTTGAAAGAAATGCGACCTTATTGTCACAATTCCGAACTCCATGCTAACCTATATCCGAATATCTATAATAAATCTGTCGAGAGGTCAATTCTGTATATGAAATTTATTTCCAAAATAACTATCAGGGGGTGATTACGGATCGAAACTGATGTCAAAAATGCAATTAGTAAAATTTTTGTCTGTCTGTCTGTATGTATGTATGTGCACGCATCACGCTAAAACTACCGGTCTCATTGTGATGAAACTTAGTATAATTATTACTAAGTAAATTAAATTTCTATCATCATCATCACGAACACTGAACAGCCTATCCACGACTAAACAAAGCCTCTTCTCACAGTTTTGAGCATTAAACACCACGACGCTTGCTCAATGCGGGTTGGCGATTACAGACTTATAATTAGAAATTATAAGCTCAGGTTTCCTCACGATGTTTTCCTTCACCGTTTGTCAGTGGTGTCTGGATAGTCTTAGAAAGTACATTAACTCGAAAAAAGTCCCATTGGTACTTGCCGTTGGTAGGTTTCGAACACGCACCCTCATGCATGAGCAAGCGGGCGTCTTAAACCTCTGGGCCACCACGACATACCAATTTTTAACGCTTAGCTTAACTGGTACGCACTCTAGTCTCGACACTCTTACTGAAGGAAAATGTGATTCTAGAGTCAAAGTGTGTAATAGTTTACAAATAAGGTTATTTCTGAGATCAGTTCCAATCAAACGGTGTCATTCAAAGACGTATGATACAAACTCAAACTCTTTATTTGCATGTTAAGGTAATACATACAGGTCTTATTAAATAACAGGCACAGCTTAACTATTACAGCTTACACTACCATAGATAAAAAAAACATAGCTCGATGCAAATAAAGACAGCGCCACTAGTGGGGAGAATATAAACTAGTTTTTCAATATTTTAACACTTACTTACCAACTAATTACGCAATAGATATTAACTGACCACAACAATTTCTTCAATAGGGTAGATGACTCATTTTTATTTCAATGTCCGTCTGGTACATTATTTAAAAACATTAGACACGTTATTTTTTATTTTCTTACGGAAACGAATAGTTTCGAAGATATATTGATTTGAAATATCGCATGACTACACTTTTGAGTACGATTAATACTCTAAACTGACATAGCTACCTCCGGTACCCACTCCTAAACTTTGATTCATTTTATCTAAGTCTTTATTTTTCTTAAAACGACAGAATAAAAAAATACATGTCTAATATTTTTTCATTACCTAACTGACGGACTAATTAGATTTTTAATTTTCATACCCTGTCATCATCCCTATTAAATCTACTCAGGAATCTTCAAGCAACCCTACTCCCGTTCCTTTAGTTCGGCCATGTAACTCGTTGTAACATACCTCCGCAATAGACTACACCCCTTTGACATCGCCCACTGCTGGGCGAATGCCCATTTGTCTCCAGCTACTAATTAAGACGGGTTTTGAGGTCATTTTCACCGTTTAAAGGGATAGGCAGAGGTCTCTTTTTTGGGGTAACGCTACGAGCAATGAAAATTATTAGAATTTTAAAATATTATCTTACTAGCTTCTGCCAGCGGGTTTGCCCGCGTTCTTGTGTATAAAAAGTAGTGTACATGTTATTCTAGACCATTATCCATATTGTGTAATATTATAATAAGACTTGTTTTGTATAACTTGGGCAGTTTCGGCTTTAATCTTATTGGGAAAAGGTCAAGAGAGAGATTAGTAGATACTTTCACAACTCATAGATATTACAGACACCTAAATCGAGTGTTTAATTAGACATAGACAAACACATATAAAACACTAACCAAGTTACTCATCTTCAATTTACTCCCAATAAAAAAGACAAAACAACTATATCTACTTAGTATACTATCCTTGTCTGCATAAGAATAGAGTGTGGCGCCCCCTTGTGGCTCCCGAACTAACCGCGGCGTTTTAAGGGATAAAAATTTGACAAAATTACAAGGCAAGCCACCCCTGTGTCGCAAGTTTACATTGTAACGTGAACACCCTAATGTTAACAGTTTAAGTTAGGGTTGTCTAAATTGTGCGTACAATTTTTGACAGTTTAAATATTGTGTCAAATATTTTTTTTGTGATAAAAAATTGAGGTCTTTCAAAGTTTATCAGTCATTGGTATTTTGATTTGATGTAGAGTAAATTACACAAGGTAGGATTTTAGTTTCATTAAACAAGTACACTCACTAACTGAATGGTTTCATTTTATTACTAACGAGCTGACCCGGTTCTGGACTTCCACGAATATTTCAAGACCAAAGCACCATATTTTTAGCAAGACTTACGAACCGAAATCCATTTTTTATATAGGTAGCATAGAGTTCCCCCTTTACTAAGTAATCTAATTATGATGACCAGTACCTAAGTAACATAATGTGTCAAAAACAATAAAAATTAAAAACAATTATTCTCTATCAGTCATCTTATTATGCGATCTCAAAAACTAAACACTACCAGCCCTATATAACAAGGGGTGGTCCAAATTAAATTTTATCAGTCGACAATGAGACGAGTTAATAAAACGAATTCAGTACGGAACCTCGGAAACCCAAGATGGGACCGTATTTAGGGATCAGTAAAACAATGCAGATGATAAAGAGTTGTTTGTTCAATGGGCGACAGAAGGCAAATAATTGCTTTCCTTTTTGTCTTTTTTAGGGTGAGCTAAACGTTTGGGATGAATCTCTTTATCTTTTTTTTCGGTTGGTACAGTTTAAAAATATTGTACGCGTTTAGCGAGGCGATTGATATGTTTTGCTCTGGCCTTCGTGTTCGAATTAGAAAAAATGTGATTCGGATTTTGTTTTTTTTTTGTTTGTGGAATTCGTAATTCAAAATTAGTATTCGACATTCATTTCTTAATATGTTAACATTAATTGGGTATTTGCCAACTAGTCCAATTAAATACTTTTTTCGAACTGTCAAAAACGACAGTTTTCTGTGAATTTTGTACGAGTTTGTGTATTGTGACGTCACGGTTTTTAGCGTCAATTATATTATACGTCAGCATATATATTAATTTAGTCATAAAATCAATTAATTAAAGTGTGAATATTTTTTAATATTTCATTATAAGTATTATCGAAATAATGTATTTTTGATTGAGGAAAGTACCCAATTGTACTTTTGTGTAGCACGCAGCTAAACTAAACATTCTATAATATGAAAAAAAACCTGATCTCTATTTAATTTAATAGTAAGAACACTTACTTTAAGTTTTGTATAAAGCCATTTTGTTATTTACAAATTGAGTATACACATACTAAAAGGATATTTTATTTATTATCCCTTTAAAAACTCTTCTTCTTTTTTAAATGTTTAATTTTGTTATAACCAAGGTTCTTAAAGTTCTATTAAAAGTCTTTAATTTTATGCTCCCTAAAATAATAATGTTAATTTCGTTAGTACCTAGTAGTTTCTTTTTTAGTAACTAAAACTTTATTGTTCTCTTTCATTTTTGTATCTTTAGTTTTTATTACCACTTAAGTAATTGAATGTTGGTTAACCTATTATCGGGAACTGTATAAGCCTAAATTCTAATGTTACTTTCATATCACTTAATGCTATGTATACAGAAGCTGTCGGTATATCTATTTAAATAAAAAAATAAATAAATAAAAACTCCCTATAATCCAAATAAATATAGCAATGTCTTCAACAGGTACGTTTAATCGCGTGACTATAAGACGTATCTTCAATTTTAATAACTCAGCAGTCGTAATAAGCGATTATCAAGACTACTTATCAATTACATAAAATTGTTTACACTTCTCTTGATCTAATATGACGATTAAAAGTCATCTTTCCATGACTGGATGAGGTTTTCTAAGTACTTTTGTTAGCAGGGGTTTAGAATTTATAATTTAACTAGCTTTTACCCGCGGCTTCGCTCGCGTCACAAAAGAATAAAAAGTAGCCTATGTGACATATACCAATACACACAGCGCCATCTATACCAATACTTTTGGTTTTCCTCGGGAATATCAATTTTCCGGGTTAAAAAGTACCCTATTATTTAATCCGGACTTCTAACTTTACGTCTGCAAAAATTCAAAGCAATCGGTTGAGTAGTTACGGCGTGAAGGTGGAACAAACAAAAAAACAAACAAACTCACTTTCAGATTTATAATATTAGTACTTAAGGAGTAAGGATTTTAACGTTGACCCACACTAGGGTTTTCTCCTGTGTCGTGGGTGCGTTTACAAACATACAAGTTCACATACACAATGACACCCAGACCCGAAACAACAATTTGTGGATCACACAAATAATTGTTCCGTGCAGGAATCGAACGCGCGACACGTTGCGCGGCAGCCAGTTGCCCAGCCACCGCGCCAACCGTGCAGTCATGTTTTTAATAACATGTGTTAACCCACAACTGTTCTTCTAAATCCTTGTTCGTATATATGAGTTAGGTTTGCCATATTATTATTCTCCAACCTTACTGGTGAGGTCACAGCTTAAAGGTTTAGGTTCAACTCAATGGACCTAATTTTATTATATACCTAATTATTTTTATAACATATCTTTGCATGCTAAATGAAGGTAAAATATTGAGAAACTGTAAATTTTGTTTACACTTATGTATTATGTACCCATGTTCGCAAATGAAATTTGAGGTTTATCAGAAACTGCTAAAGTTCAGTCTAATGCGTTACGTCTTATAGCCATGTATGGACATTATTATTTTACCTTCTTTCACGCTTAAAGTGTGTTGTACGAAAAACTATTACGTAAAACACAGATACCTAATGGCGTCGCGACGGTGTCTCAAATTTCACCATCATTAGAAAATGATTAACCTTTCTCCACCGGTCGGGGGTCGTTGCGACCCATTACGTCAAATGTCAAACGATTCACACCCCACTACAAAGCAAAGACATTTCAGATAATTTAAATTGTTCTGTATCAGAATAGTTTGGTGTACAAGGTATATTTTTACGATGTTTCACTTAACAAGACGAAAAAAAAATGTTTTTCTATGGTTTGGGTTCGTTAGTAATAAGAAATAAGTCTGTTGCGATGAAATTCAATAATAAATACATAATAAGTTGTGACTAGTACTTCCTTATTTCACGTTTATTGTAGGACTTGAAGAGCTATGCAGAGGCAGTAATCCTAATCTTTACTATAGTTATTTATTAAATCGCTCTCAAACATAACTGGTAAAACGATGTTAACATTAATATTGTATTTGTTTTCATTCACTGCCTACCCATTTAGCAATGAAAAAAGAGCGTTATGTTATATTATATTCTATCTTTTCTCTTTCTATCTTCTTCTTTCCTATATCTAACCTCTAATATAATTGGTAGACAAAATAAGATGATAACACGAGTAGTCTGTCCGTGTACCGCAGGCAGGCGATGCTGACCGCGCGGTCAGACAACAGGGACGATGACGACGAGCGGCCGCTGGATGTTGGCGGCCCGTCCAGTCCGCCCCCGCCCACCACCTCCACGCAGCACAATACTAGCTGTAAGTATACTTTATAAATAAAAATGTAATAATTTTGTATTTATCTATGTCTAAGCTATTAAGTCCTGCTGAACTGTCGGCTCGAAAATTGATGTATTATTCAACCCTCAACAAAACATTCTGACTAATACTAATGCCAGTTTAGCCCTAGAATAGGAAATAACAAATAGTTTCATTGTACATTTCACAGACAATTTGTTATTATTATGGAACATAATTTATGTAACTGTATTGGCGATGGGTGATTTCCGGACGCGAGCGTTTACAGGGTTGTATGGAGTGATTGATTCGTTCAGTGATTCAGTTCATTCGTTCTCAGTTCACTTGTTCATTCATTCGTATTGCGTTATGTAATGTCAATAATGATATCGTTCTAATTTCAAATTGCTCGTTGTTAGCATAAAATTACTTTCTAGCATTACTTATGCATTCAATCGCATTATTAGAGTTTGATTAATCGATGGAATTGTTCACGTTAGCGCGTAATTACTCTGTCCATTTTACATGCAATGGTTTTCGCATAGGTTTGGTACCTTTGTTTTGTTTTACATTTGTGTAGGTTCTAAATAGTATTTCTCTTGCAGCCTGGTTCAGTTCGAGTGGAGGTGGCGGTGACTCGGGCGCGGAGGAGGGCATCGAGGCGGGCTCCGACTCATCGTGCTCGGCAGGGCGCGCACCCTCTCCCCCAGCAGGGCCCTCGCGGCCCTCGCCGGCGCCCGATGTGTCGCTGGGTCCCCCAGTGCAGCCGCCGCTGTTGCCCTACCTGTACCCGCCGTCGCTGTATCCGCCGCCGTTCTTCCCGCCGCACCAGATGCCGCCCGGGCTGCTGTTCAACCTGCACCCGCTGCTGCAGCAGTACTCGCTGCCGCCGCCTCCAGCGCCGCCCGGGCCGCACGGGGCGGCTGCGCTAGGCAAGGCGCACAGGTTCGCGCCGTACGCGCTGCCAGGGCTGGGCTCGGCGTTCGAGCAGGTGGCGCCGCGAGCGCGGTCGCTGAGCTCGTCACCCGCGCGTCCGCGGCCGGGCTCGCCCCCGGCGCGGGCTGCGTCGGCCGACCCTCCACCGGACGCGCCGAGCTCCACCACGCCGGCCACGCCGCCCGCCTCCGACCTCAAAAGCATCGAGCGCATGGTGAACGGCCTCGACGTCGAGACCCAGGACTGATCGATCCTAGTACTGTACATACCTGTGTATTTATATGGTGGGCCCCGGCCGACGTTTTGTATCGTTCCTATTTTGTTTTTTCTTTCGAGTTCTATTCGGGTCGATATTCGTATACTGATTGTAAATAGTTAAGCTTACATTAGGATTCACGATGTAAGGTTCTCCGGACGGACGAGGTCGCGACATGACTCTCTCAAACAAAACACTTCAATCTAAGTCAAAACATGAAAACATTCTCTCTTTTCCTTTCTTTTGATTCCCGTGTGTTGTAGTCAAACAGTGATATCCGACAAATCCCATTATGTCTAATTTGTCTGTCCTCGCGACACCGCCCGTCGAGCGTAGCAACCCTCACGTTAGCGTCACATAGCAACACCGCAATAGCAATAGTTTTAAATTAATACTCTGATTTCGACTGTCCGCGGATTGTAGATGAGATGTTATAGGTAACTATGGAAACGAGCTAATTGTGAAGACCGAAAGTGAAGTGACACCAACATCAAGGACATAAATGTGTGGTTTATAATAGAGTAATGGAGTTTCTTATATTGCATGACTTTTCTCTAGATGTTAAAATTAGAATACCTGTTATTTGACTTTTATTCCTTTAATAATGATAATCAATATTTCGTTTTATTTTTGTTTTCATATTTTTGTAGTCTTACAATCCAGTGGTTTATTAGTATTTTGTTGACGTCACCACTACAACCCGTAAAGTCGAAATATTAATTTCATTTCCCACTTCGAATAATTAAATATTATTAATGATATTGCTTTATTTTGTAAATACATTTTGTAAGGTATATTTACGTGTTTAACTAATAAATAGACATATTTTGAAAATATGTTTTGTCAATTGTGCTGTGAGATAGCATGGGTCCGATTGCTGCTTTTTAGTATAGGTAAATTAATTGAAATTAAAGTGTTTGAAAAAAGTATTTACCTGATTGTAAAAATTGGTAAATAATCGTATAAAAAGATGAATATTACTTCGATAGACAGTTTTATAAGTTGATGTCAGTAGACATTTTAAATTAAAAGAAACAAGCGTTTAGTACAATCGACGGCATTTTCTTAAATGTTATTTTATGAAAAGTCCTATAACACTGTCTACGCGAAATAAATAAACAAATAAAATACTTAGTGTAAAATTTTCTATCTTCAATTGGCAAAATGTAACAAAAAAGCGATTTTTCGAAAAAGCAACAATCGGACGCGAGCAAAAAAAAACGATTGATAAAAAAATCTAACTATAAGTTAAAGTTTGTAATATATAGTTAATAAATATTGTAGTTAAAAATACAAAATATATAATTATAATAATAATTATAAAATGAATATAATTTTCCATGGAATTCATTAAAGTTAAGCAGAAATAGTGAGCTCGGTAAATAGAAATTAATGTTTTAGTACATATTGACCTAAATATAATCATTTTTAATTTTTCACTTACGAAATAAAGACGTTTAAAATTGAACTTGGAAATTGCCATCAAAGTCAAATTTGACAATAGTGACTGCGACATGAAGCGAATACAGCAAAACATTTCGAATAAAAAAAATACACAAAAAAAATAAAATCACTTTTTAATTTTGTTTCACTTCTCAGTTTCAATAAAATTCAATTCGAAAATTGAAATCCAAAACACACCATAGGTCACTATGTACTAAAAGAAACCATAAACAAAGCAGTTATTTTTTTTTTACATCAACGTCAAACAAAATGTCACGTCACAGTCACATCAAGCGAGTGATTTGATTGCAACAAAGAATTGTTTTTGCCATGTTTTCTACAAAAAAACAAACAAAACAACGTTAGCTTCGTGAAATGGAAGGAGACTGTAATTTTGCAACAGTTGTAATTAAAAATTATTCATTAAAATATATAGATCAATCTATTGACAAAAATATGATTGTTTTCTTTCGATTCCTCTGTATTTGATTCTGCGTACTGAATAGCATATAAGGCCTTGATAATCCAAGGATTTTTAAAAATAGCTGTTTTTAAAATAATGAGAATTAATTGACTAAAACTCGCGAGCTACTCACGTGAATATACTGAGAAAAGCTCTAACTTACTACTAAAGGAAACTATCCAATTCCCGCAAACAGCCACCCACAGATAAAAAATAAAAAAAAAGAAACTTGTCAACGACCAATCTCACACAATCAGGAAACGGGCTAACAGGCTGAGAATCTAACTGAGCCCATCTTAACTGTGCCCATAATAATTTAAAACAATTACATTACATCGTAAAACAACGACACGTAATTGGGGCCCAACAACACGATGGCATCTCGAGGTGTCACGTACGTAATTGGTCGCTTGGTATCTGATCGCGTTTGTGTTATTCGCCCACTTAGCAAGATCTGTATGCTAAACTAGTATTATGAGTTGTCTCGCTAGGCCAGTGGTTTCCAACCGGTGCGTGGTCCGCGAAATGAAAAAGTATATAGGTAAATAATTACATACATAACATCACGCCTTTTAACCCCGAAAGGGTAGTCAGAGGTGTACATTACGGCACTTAATGCCACTGTACAATGTAACCCACTTTTCACTATTTATGTTATGAGTCCCATGTAATAGGGGGTGAGCCTATTGCCATATACCGGGCACTATTCCAGACTCCGTGCTACTACTGAGATTTTTTGAAAAACTCTTTGCCCGACCCGGGAATCGAATCCGAGACACCTTGCCCGGCAGTCGCACTTGCGACCACGCAACCAACGAGGCAGTTATTATATATCAATGAGGCAGCAAATAATTACTTACCTATATATTTAATAACTACGTTTAAAAAATCGAACTTTAATCCCCTCCTTTTTTAAAATCTGTTAAGTCTAACAAACACTTTTCTGAAACCACATCAAAATGGGTTCAGCCAAACCCAAGGTATACAAGCACAAACATACATACATACTGTTAAAAATATACACCACTGACTGGTATCACCAGCCTGTAAAAAGTTATAGTAATAGTGGTGCTTGACCAAGAAAAGGTTGGGAACCCCAGTACTAGGCGATGTGATGGCAAGGTGCGACGCGAAACGTTTCACTGATGTGCTTAAGGATAAGGGTTTTTTTTTAAGGGGGGAATATCATCGAATGACTGCTCCCGCCTGGGTGAGGCGGGAGGGAGTGTCAGACTCTTACTGACTAAAAACCACCCCGTTCCTTCTCCTGCACTTCGAGCCGGAGCCCCGGTTACCCGTTAGGTTCTCCGCGACAAGGATAAGGGGTTAAGCTACTAATCCAGTGGAGTGAGCAGAGCAGACCTAGAAATTTCATTATAAAATTTTTTGCAGTGTGCCTTAACTGCCTCGTTAGCTGAGTGGTCACAAGTGCGAGGGCAAGGAGTTCGATTCCCGGGTCGGGCAAAGTATTACTGCGTTTTGAAGAAAAGTCTCAGTAGTAGCATGGAGTCTGGAATTGTACCCGGTGTATGGCAATAGGCTCACCCCCTATTACATGGGACTCATAACATAAATAGTAAAAAGTGAGTGCCGTAATGTGCACCCCTCTGCCTACCCCTCCGGGGATTTAAGGCGTGATGTTATGTTATGTGAATCAAGACCCCAAATACTGAATCAAGAAATCCTCCGAGCCTGTCATCATCATAACTTAGCCACAAGATTTCCATTGCTGAACATAGCCGTCCCCCCATGTCTTTAGATCAGCCCAATGCCACCTTCAAAAAGCACACTCTGGGATTGCGGATCTCCGTCCAAAGGTGGCGCTGGTTCCTTACCATCAGGTGATTCGTCTGTTTGTTTGCTCCCAATTCCTATAAAAAAAAGGATTTCTACAATAAGAAAAGTATGTGATACACACGTCTCTCCCTCAACGTAGTGTTAACCAAAGGTCATTGTGCCAGCATTACTTTTGATTAACAAGACAGATTAGGAGCAGGTTTGATGCCCATTCATGTCACAAAGAGAGATTTGTATCTTAACGCCAAGGTTAAGTTTATCCTGCTAGGTTAAAGATTAACGTAATTATGTTACGGTTAATCAGGGTTACCTTTTTGAACCCCTCGAGCGTCCTTATGAGCACCCGGTGGATTATAAGAAAAAATGCTCCAAATGGCACATGTGCACCCGTTGGATCATAAGGAACGCGGACGCTCGACGGGTTAAAAGCAATAGATAAAAATTAATAGGTAAAGAAAACTAAAAATTACTATTAAAAGAGAGCATCAACAAATTCATCCGCATCGACGTCAATAGGGAAAGTACCCAGAAGGCTGGCAGCATTGCCACGTTGTATGGCAATGCTTAACTTCTGGCCGAGAAACAGACCAGCCCTCTGGTCACGAGATACGTCGACCAGGCGTTTTGAAAGATTCGTAAATAAAGTATGGGCACTCGGACCCCACTTGTTACTTGTTAGGCTTATTATTTCGCGGAAGTACGCGCACTATTAATGAATGCGATACGAAATAATAAGTTTTTTAACGGGGCGTGTGGGGGGGGGGGGTAATCATCGAATGACTTCTTCCGCCTGGACGAGGCGGGAGTGTCAGACTTTTACTAACTAAAAACCATCACGTTCCAATTCCTACCCTATGTCGAGGACACGGTGACAACGTGGCTAGTATATCTAGTCATGCCTATGACTAGTAAACAGTACACCTAGCACCTTAATACCAACTCTCTAATCTTTAAAATTTTGCTCGCAGTCTCAGTTATTCACATGTTGTTACGACGTGTTCTCAGTACTAGCGTTAGGACGCAGCATCCGACGTGATGATCGTGTAGATACCGCCTTATCTCGCGCACGTTGCGTTGGCGCAAGTCGCTAGGTGCCTCGCCTGTGTACGCGCCTTTATTTTTTATGTAAGGTGATGTTCATATGGAATTTTGGTGACAGTTTCATTCTGATATTAACTTCTAGTTATCTACGGACATTACGTATAATAATAATAAAAGCCTTTATTAACAATCTTTGGAGTTGCATTTATCTTAATTTTACAACTTAACTATGTATTACGAATAAACGTTTTTAAATGCAACTTATAATGAACTAGCTTTTACCCGCGGCTTCGCTCGCGTCACAAAAGGATAAAAAGCCAATGTGACATATACCAATACACACAGCGCCATCTATACCAATACTTTTGTTTTTCTTCGGGAATATCAAATTTTTCCGGGATAAAAAGTACCCTATTATTTAATCCGGACTTCTAACTATACATCTGCAAAAATTCAAAGCAATCGGTTTAGAAGATACGGCGTTAAAGTGGAACAAACAAACTCACTTTCCGATTTATAATATAAGTAAGGAAGTAAGGATTTAATGTGTTTGTATTAGACACTGGTTACATGATTGTCTTGCCCTTTGGCATAGATCTCCCCAAGTCCTCTCCATAATTCTCTATCTCTTCATGTCCGCATACAACATGGCCCTGCGACCGTTTTGATATCATCTTCCCATCTTCGACACTGTCTGCGGACATTATGGATGCTTTTATCGGGTTAAGTTATTCGTAGGCCCCTTTTTTTTTTTTTTTAAGGGGGGAAAATCATCTAATGACTGCTCCCGCCTGGGTGAGGCGGAAGTCGTAGGCCCCTTAGGAGTTATCTGGAGTCTTGTAGTCTAGCTTGTTGTGTTCTCACATGTGTGAGTCACAGTAACCTAAGTTACATTGCCCTTCTAATCATTTTCTAAAGTCCTTTTTATTAGGATCTCTTTTGAGAGTTTCAGTTAAAAAAATCTACAGATTCGTTGTTGAAAACATAGGCTCATCGAATCTTTTAGGCGATTGTTCTTTTTGTGCAAACCTTTTTGTGACAAAATCCTTTTTAGTTCAGGTGTGGTGATGTTGCTGTATCATGATTAGTTATTTAAACTTATTTCTAAAGTTAATGCTAATACTTCTACTTTGATTAGCGATATAAATAAAACAAATTGAAAACTTATTATTATGACAATAGGCTCACCCCCTATTACATGGGACTCATAACATAAATAGTGAAAAGTGGGTGGTACATTGTACAGTGGCATAATGTGCACCT